TCACCGAGCTTGTTTTTGAGTCATAAGCAGTTAAAGCTAAAATTAAGTGTGTTTTTAACAGTTCATACTGTTGCTATGGTAACCTATTGTGCCACGAAAATGACACTAACATGTTCACCAGTGATTGGGCAGTATTTCTGCGTCTTGGAAAGTGCTAGAAACTGTTTTGAGCCACCTTAACTACAAGTGAATTAAACAATTTACTGCAATTTCATAGTGTTTGATTGATCTAGTTACGAAATTGTGATCAAAAATCCCCGGCATTACTGAAACCACCAAGAACCTCACCTCAAACAACAGGAAATTTAAGTTCAAAGTTCGGCGAAAGAAAAATGCGAGAAGCGCGAGACTGTCTTCCCCTAAGTAGACCTAACAGAGTCACGTATTCAAGCAAAATACATTGCATGATCCTAATTTGAAAATAATGTTTTTAATCGAGTGAGGTTTCGTGGTCAGCCACCATTGATAATCAATCAAACAAATCGATGAGACATGCCAACATGGTTTTAAAAAATTAACAACCATATCATTTACTAACAACTACCGAGTTTACGTTATGTAATACAACAATTGCAGATGACTTCTGGATTCTGATGGGTCAACAACAATTAGCCCTGTTCACCGGTTATTGAAAGCAATGAAATATAAACCTGCATGGTAAAACTATCGTCTTGTATTTTTTAGGAAAATCCGTGACTAACAGTACTTTTAGCCACGCAACCGGTGTATGGTTATTGGCGAACTGATGAAGAAAGGAAAACAAGAGTTAAGGGAGGGGGGTGGAGTGCACGTGTAGTGTAGATTCGTGCGACGGAAACCGACAGTTGCGATGAGACGCCAGACTGGAGCGCCAACACCACACGCCACTGTTTACAAAACCAAAGCCCGTGTTGAAACAGGATGAAATGGTATGCGGTTTTACATATAACGTCCCTTGTCTTGACTTTAACTCCTGGTTGATTGTGGCAAAACACTACATATCTGGTTGTTCTTACAAATATAGTTTAAAACGAGCTTAAGTCAAAAATAAATATTTAGCAAGGCCATTTACTAGTTATGACCTGTATTTAACGCTATACGAATGTCTCTTTGTAAATTGGATTATATGTCTATTTGTATGGTGCATGTTTAAAGCTTTGTAGACTTGTACGCAGTCACGTTGCTGTTAGCAACTAGTAACGATGTTGCTATTAGCATATTGTAACGGTAGCATTTTTCATTTTCTATTGTGTAAGCATATTTGCCAAGAAACTGTTTTATGCGCTATTATTGCGAGCTTCAACATTTCTTACCTCACCCCTCCCTTAAGAAGAAAAAATGAGGAACCTTAAAGAGAAGGAAGCTATTAGTAGGTAACAACAACGTGACATCGAACATCAGCAATGATACCACTTTTGAAAATGCTAAAACATAAATCAGCAATAGCGGCAACATTTGTACGTGCTAATACCATACTTCCCGCTTTAATGAAACGCCTTGCAGCGAATGAATCGCAGAAGTCGTTGGGGCTATAAAAACAGTCAAGCAAACACAGCGAACTCAGACCTGAATTGACGCGGATCACCTCAGACAAGGCTGATCAGTTCAACCACAGACATCAGAAATGCCGTCACAGTACTTTGTAGCGACGATCTGTCTTCTCGCTCTTCTAACAGGCCACAGTTTAGCAGGAGAAATAAGGGGAAGCCAACTCCAGAACCTGACGCTCAATATTACGAATGTAAGTGAAAAATCATTTTTTCAGTCCTAATTAACGTCTTGCAAACAACATCAGTGCCCGGTTTTCGTGCCCGGTTCGTGGTAAAGAAAGAGAGGTCTCAGTTTTTCTGATCTTTACGGATTTTTACTAAGCAAGTTGTTCAGTTATTATTTGTTAGCTGCGTCTCATGCTTAGCGTACGTGCCGGCCGAACAAGCAAGCATTCCCTTAGCTCTCAAAGAAGTAAAAGTAATGTTTTTGGGAAAGAAAAATAGCATGCAGCAAAATATTCAAACTTTCATCGGTATAGGTTGTGCCCCTTTTCTGATACCTTTTAAGTGTAGCACTAAATGTCTGTATCGTAACACCCTTGCAGCGTTTCAAAATGTGCCAGCCTCCGAGGAGACGGCAAAGAAATTGATAACGAATTTCCTTCGCATTCCTTTGTCCCACTTGAGTCGCAATCCAAGGCTTCGACGGAGCACCATCAAAGAAGATATTGTGGTTATTTGGATGGCTCAGGCTCAATTAAGAACTGTAATTTCGACAAAGCAAAACAAGCTTTGAAAAACATGTTGGCCTTGGGATTGGAAGCGGGATACGACAACAAGTATGCGGCTGTGTCATTTGGAGACAGCGCAATGACCAACTTCGACTTCAAAGCCTATCCAGAAGCAGGGAGGCTCATAAAGCAGATTCCTTACTTAAGTGGAAGCACTAACACTCAGGCTGGGCTGAAGGAAGCGAAAAAGGTGTTTGAAGATCCCGCATCAGGTATGCACATGTTTTGGTTAACCAGCTCAGTTCAATCTGCACGGTATTATGTGAAGTTTGCTTTACATATACGAGAGTATCATAGAATGCTATCATGAAAACGTAACAGATGAATCAGAGAGCAAAATAAAAATGAAAAAAGAAAAAAAGAAAGTGTTGCAACAATATCAAGGGCAAGAATAGCACGGAATAACCAACTCGGCAAAACTTCCCGGAGAAACAAATCAGACGTTATAGAGGAGAAGTTCTAATTGCTTTTACTTGTTAAATGTATGTTTTAACTGCTTTAGTATTCCAATA